GTCTAAGCAAAAGCATACTTGTTCGAGAAAGGTGTCTAACTATATACATATATTTAAATACACTAGAATGTATGTGATTCCACTCATGTGGAACTTTATTAGTAAGCACAAATGACTTTTAGATTTTTGTTACTGACATGACACCATAAATCTAAAACAACCATGTTTTAATGCTAGCTTAACATGAAATAGCTAGCAGTCTGTGGTGATGTTTCTGTTTTGTTTAATTTTTGTGAATGCATATGTGCATGTCTATTCTCTCTGTAAAGCACTTTGTAAATACTGTTTTAAAAGGTGCTATATAAATAAAGCTTTACTTACTGAGTTCTGTTAAAGGTGCACTATTTTTCTTCTAATTACTAAAGTGTTATACAAATACAAATTTATATATGTGTGTGTGTGTGTGTGTGTGTGTGTGTGTGTGAATTTGTGAAATTGTGTTATTTTACTATTGTTATTATTATATTTTTTTTTTATTATATATTTTATTTTTTTTAATTTTTTTTTATATTTTAGGTACATTGTATATAGATTTTTATATTCATTTTAGTTAGTGTTTTGGTAATTCCGATGTGGGTTTTAAAAAGTAATTTTTGTTGTGAAATATTATTACCGTTTAAAATAAATGGTGTCTATTTGAATATATTTTAAAATGTAACTTATTCCTGTGATGGCAAATTGTTTATATTGTTTAAATTGTTGATTGTTTATATCATCGCAAAATGTAACTGTATTATCATCAAGCTCTAATCTGATAAATGTGACTGAGATATAAAGATATTGAGATATTATAAACATTAAGTTTATGATTTTCTGTAAAGCTGCTTTGAAACAATGTGTATTGTGAGAAGTGCTGTATTTGTGTTTTCTCTCGTCTCCAGGTGGGAAAGCATGACGAGGCGTGGATGGTTCTCAAACAGATTCATGACACAAACATGCGTGCGCGCGGAGAGCCCGAGAAAGTCTTTACTGTGAGTCACACACACAACCAGCAGTGGTTAACCAGTCAGCCAGAGCTAACCAGCTTGACCTGACCCCACTCACTCAAACTGTGCTGGTAACGTGACGTCACTCTCTCTCCCCCTGCAGGTGAACCGTATAAAGATCCCCAAGCAGCTGGATGAGCTGGTGGAGATGCAGTCGGAGTCGGCAAACCCCGCGGCCAAAGTCTTATTCAGGATCAAGAGCGAACTGCGCGGAGTGAGTGAACAAACCCTCAGATCTCCTGTAGATCCCACACATCCGCCTCACATCTTAGGAAATTTACATTACTGTTTGAAAGTTTGATTTTTGAATGTTTTTGAGTTTCTTCTGCTCACCAAGGCTGTGTTTATGTGATCAAAATTTCAGTAAAAACAGTAATATTGTGAAATAGTATTACAATTTAAAAATAACTGTTTTCTATGTAAATATAGGTTAAAGTGTCATTTATTGCTGTGATGCGCAGCTGAATTTTCAGCATCATTACTCCAGTCTTCAGTGTCACATGATCCTTCAGAAATCATTCTGATATGCTGATTTGCTGCTCAAAAACTTCCTATTGTTGTTTTTATAATTATTATTATTATAGAAAGTTCGAAAGAAAAACCTTAATTTAAAATAGAAATTTTTGTAACAATGGAAAAATCCTCAAACTTTTGTGACCCCAAACTTTTGAATGGTAATCAAAATAAAATAAAAGTTCCAAAATAGTTTGCATCCAAAATAAAAGTTTTTGTTTACATAATATATGTGTGTGTGTTGTGTACATTTATTATGTATATATAAATACACACACATACAGTATATCTTTTGAAAATATTTACATGTATATACATTTATATATTTATATTATTATATTTTATATATAAATATATTTAATATATATATATATATGGAGTTTAAATTGACTTAACAATAGATTTTGTGGTCAAACAATATAAGAAATGAGATAGCAAGAGGTAGATTTATGTATTTAAAATATTAATTAAAAACATCTATTTTATATATTACATATTTTAATACTTTTCAAGAATTTTTCAAAACTCATTATGTGTATGCATTATATATAATAGAAAAAACTGAAAATTATTTATTATAAAAAATATATATATTATATTATATATTTTTAGATGTATATTTTTTATTTTATTTTTTTAAAACTTGTACTGTTTGGCCACAAAAAAAAGATTTGCATCTTAGAGCTAAATCTTAGTGCTGACATTGAGCACAGAAAAAAGATTTGCAGCTTGAAACGTGAAACCGTTTGCATAAATGCCTCTCGTTTAAGACGAATAAGTCACGCTAAAGTTCAGCTGGGACTCAGACGCACCAAATGTTCTGCTGATTCATCTTTGCCTTTGCATTTTCTAATGCTGTGATGAAATGAAATCAGATCCCATTATACGCAGGTGCTTTATTAGCATTTTATGCATTAGTTTGACTCTGTATGTGTGTGTGTGCAGATCTGGCTCACGTTCCTGAAGTGCTGGGATTACCCTGTCAAGGACAACACTGTGAAGTTGGCCTTGGTTTGGTTCTCACTGTCATTCGGGTGAGACTGTTTGGTCTGATTGCCTGGACCGACCCCTGATTCATCACCCCTGTAGTTACACACATTATCACCCAGCGGAGCCGTGATTATAGTGATCACACATTGTTTGCATGCCATTTAGAGTACAATATCATCAGATTCTATTCTATTCTATTCTATTCTATTCTATTCTATTTGGCCTTGTTCCAATCAGTAGACACTGTTTTTCTTCCTCTCAATCTCTCTGCTGTTCTCTGGCACTGTAATGAAGTGTTGTTCCTATAATCACTGTGTTTTAAGTGGCTGTCTTGCAGTGGTTAGGCCCAGGGGTGGAGCTGCATGAGGGGGACCAGTCACTGTTTAATTACTGTATTTATTGGAGCTTAAGCCTGGATGGACGGGCTTAGAGACAGAGCTCTGCAGGAGGCCTTATATCCACACTCATGTGTAAAAGCCTGGTTTACTCATCAAATTACACTAAAACTCCTCTGACCTGGCTTTTCTGAGACATATTCTATTCTAGTCTAGTATAGTCTAGTCTAGTGTAGTCTAAAACCGATAGTTCCAGCTCTAAAACCAGTTGGGATGAGTTGTGTTTTAATCTGTAAAATATCCAGTAAACATTTAAATTCAAATTGATATTATTAGTCCAATTTGATAAAGAATCCACAGTTAGATTAATGAACTATATAACTGGCAGAAGAATTGTTTATTAGAAATATTTGCTAATAGACATTATCATTATTACTCATTCTTAGTGTATACTAAGTATACTTAGTGTGCTTATACTGATTTGAATAAACCCACTAAACCCCTAATAATATTTATTACAATTTTGAATTAGATTAGATTTTTAAATTTTCAGTTTGAATTTTAATTTTAGTTGGAAGTTTTTTAAATTTTGTGGTGTATTTGTATCATTTTTATTAGTTTTTTTATGTCTATATATTTTTTATTCATTTTTATCTCATTTTTAGTTATTTTAGTATATCAAGTTAAATTAAATGAAAATGAGAAATGTTAAACTAGCTGAAATAAAATAAGTTTAAAAAAATTATATTTGTAATTTGCATTCATTAAATATTTCTATGTAGTTTTTAGTTGTAGTAATTGCAATGCTTCACCTTAAACTTATTTTATTTCAGTTAGTTGTGAAGGCAACATTTCAAATTTTCAGAAAATTTCTAATTCTAATTTTATTAGAATTAGAATCTTTCTAATTTTAAAGTTTTTTATGTAATATTTATATTTTATTTCAGCTTTATTTCAATTAATAACAACAATTTTTAATAGTTTTAAGGGGGTTTCCACGGTTAAGGGGGTTTCAGGTTAACAACACCCCTAAACTTAAGTAAAATCACTGTAAAACGTGGCTTATTGCTTTATTTGTATTCTATTCAGTTTCTCTTTTCTTGTCTTATTTCCACCCTCGTCTCTTTTGTTTTTAGTCTTAATAAACTTGTGTCTTCACTCTGTCACAGACCAACTCAAGCTAAACACTTCAATACAAAATAAAAGAGAAATTCACACACACTCTCTCTAATTAAAGAGTGAACAGATGCCTCTATCGCTGCTCTCTGTCAGACTGAAGGCCACCGCTGAGGAGCAGAAATTAATTAACTAAGCGCTGGTGTCACCACCTGTGTCACACCTCAGCCAGCTTCAGTCCCTGTTAGTCACTCAGACGTCACCTGTCAGCGCTCTGATGATGTCACTTCCTGTGCGCAGGTACTACGGTCTGTCTGTCTGGTTCCCTGACGTCATAAAGCACCTGCAGGCGGACGAGTACGCGTCCCGCGTGAAGATCCACAACAACGAGAGAATCGAAGATTTCACCTTTAATTTCACCCTGGAGAACCAGATCCATAAAAACGGAGTGTTTATTAACGACAGGTCAGTCTGTGTGGGACAGTGTGTCTGTGTTCTCATATTAAAGATCGTATTCTGCATTTTATATCTTGAATTCCTCTTATTATCTCCATATCAAAAACAGTCATAATTTAGTTTTTGATTACTATTGTCCTACTCCTCCTTAGAAATAAACAGGCCGTTTTTCTGCTGTGCTTTTATGATAACGTGATCCTTTTGTGAGTTATAAACATTTGACAATTCTGACATTTTTTGTTTTAGAATTCTGCATTTACTTCTTGCAATTCTGACTTTTTCCTTGGAATTGAGATTATATCTCACAATGATCACTTTTTCCACAATTCTTAGTTTATATTACATTTTCCTGTTCTCACTGTTTCTCTTGGAATCCTAAGTTTAAATTTTGTGATTCTGCCTGATTTTTAGAATTCTTTTTTCTTCACAATTCTTTTTTCTTCGGAATTCTGAGTTTACACATCGCAATTCTGACTGTTTTTAGAATTCTGAGTTTACATCTTGGAATTGTTGCGATTCTTTTTTTTTCTTTGAATTCTAAGTCTAAATCCCACAATTCTTGCATTTTTTTTTTTTTTTTTAAGAATTTGTTATAGCCACATAATAAAAAATGAAAAAAAGGTAATCATGACTTTTTATCTCACAATTCCGACATTTTCCCGCAATTGCAAGTCTATCATTTCAGACTTTTCTTCTCAGAATTGCGAGTTTATATCAAAAAGTCAGAATTTTGAGAAAAATTATTTCTTATTTAATGGCGAAATAAGGTTAGATATGGTTTTCATTGAATTATGCTGGAACAATTCAGTTTTGCAGGATAGTGCTATTCACTTGGAATGGGATTGGCTGTAAGTACTGATATGTAAATGTGGGTGGTCATATGTTAATGAGCTCATGATTGTAATGTCATAATCGTGGAGGTTTCCTAGGGTTTCTTTTTAGTAAATGAAGCTGGCACTGGGAAGTTTTGGGTTGTGAATGTTAGAAATCAAGCTCTTATTTCAAAAGAGCAAGAAGAGTCAGGTTTCCCCTGGATATAAAAGTGAGATTGCACAAGCCAGTGAACTCTGAGAGGCTTTTCCATGTTCTCATCTTATCTACTTCAGCTCCTTTGTGTGAAATAAAATCCCGAAACTAAACATGCGTTTGCAGAAATAGAGCCGATCTTCAGCTGCGGTTGATGCTGGTCATAACGTTTGCGTTCTCTGTGTGTGTGTTTGTGTGTGTGTGTGTGTGTGTGTGTGTGTGTGTGTGTGTGTGTTATTGTTCTCAGCGGTCTGATCTCTCTCTCATAAATAACATCCCGCCGTTGAGGTAATGTCTCATCCAGACGCAGGGCCAGGAAATTAAAACGCCCTTATCTCTTCTCTCCTCCTTTTCTTTCTTTCTGCTTCACTCTGATTCTTTCTCTTTCTTTTTGTTTATGATCTCCGTCCGCTCCTCCTCTTTCCCTCATCCCTCTCTCCTGGAGATGAAGCTCTTATCGTGTTGTTGTAGCGCTCAGCTCCTGTGATGCTCATTTATGAGCAGATGAGATCAGACTCCACACACACACACACACACACAAATGAATCACAATGACAGAACTCACTAGATTATGGAAACAACTGGATGGAGAATCATCTGAGAAGCTGGAGACTTCAGCAAACATCTCCAGATGACCTCCATTTAATCCAGTTGTTAATTAAGAGAAGCAATTGAGATGTAAAAGAGATTAGATTTTTGTTGCTGATTATTTTCTTATTTGTGGCAAATGTCAGATTGGGCTGATCTTGATTCTTTCTCATTACTATTTTAATGTTTGATGTGGTTGAACGCTGTTCATTGAGCTGGTTAGTTGTGTCCTGACCAGTCCTGTCCTTTATTTCAGGTTCATTGGCATGAAGTTTAAGTCTGTGACTTTCATCGACTCCACCTTTCAGAGCTGTTACTTTGAGGACATCAGCTCCATCGGTTCTTTCTTCAAGAACTGCACCATCATAGAAGCGTTCTTCTATAATACAGGTACGAGTGTGTTGAAATCAACTTACCTCATTTTTAGGGCTGTCAGTTGATTGAAACAATGACATGTGATATAAATATTTAAAATAAGTCTAAAATAAATATTCTTAACATATATATAAATATGTAAAATATGTATATTTGGAAAAATTTCTAAATAATAGAAGAAGA